CTTTGAAGTCTCCAGCCACGGGCTAGAAGTAGCTTTGGAATTTGCTCGGTCTTAAAAAGCGCCTTCTGCAGGTTTCGCACCTTACTTTTGTCTCATGTTCAAAACCTGTTTCTGCATTGACTCCTTCTGATTCAGGAAAATTAAAGACGAGCGGGGTCTTCTTACGGTCGGTTTGTTCATTTGATGCTTTAGTGATCGATGTAGCTTTCCTCGAAACTGCCTTCGGCTCTGCACTTTTATTTGTTCGTTTCGACGTTTGCCAACCCGCGTTGTCATCGTTAACAGTAGCATGAGGCACGACGTGTGCCTCTCTAGGTTCCGGAATTTCCACTGGTGCCGCCACCGCCGGCACCGTCGTCGCATCAGACTCCGAAATGTATGAGTCCATTTTCTCAATTTCAGGCTGGTTTCTACTCTGCTCCTGGGCTTTGCATTACTCTTATGAATCAGTGTCTGTGTCAGCCGCGTCCTCCCTAAGAAGACTGATTTTGCAGGTGCCCTACTGAGTCATATTTCTTGTGAACTTCGTATATTTCTGGCGCTATCTTCGCACATTTTATATGTACCCATTGTTTACAGAGGGAACAGAAGACAGCCTTGCTCCTGACAGTAACGTTATTTTTACGGGTGGGGCAATTGGACTTTGGCCTATTTCTAAATAAAACCATGCTAATAGAGATGATTTTTATAATAAATACAAAGACTAGGGGTTGTTTCTTCTATTGAATATATTGATTTATATAAATCTTCCGCTTTGTCTCAAAATTTGAATCAACCGTGGTCAAGGTCAAAGGTCTGTTTTTGATTTCGGATAGCGATCTATGATAGTTCACGAACGTGCAAATATATACAGATAAACTGTGAAACCGTGGCATATTCGATTTTAATCTGAAAAATGATTCATGGGATATAAAGCTGCTGAAAAATGGGCTAGAAATTCGAAAAAATATATTTACCCAGCATTCTTATTATGTGATCCATCAACGGTGGGCGTTCGTAGCATTGATATGTTGGAATAGCAAAGATACATCTGACTAATATTTGACTAGTACTTGTGAAAGGTCTAAATAGTTCAGAATATAGTCGATAATTCTACCTGAATTTTTCCCCATCAATGTAATGACGGCTTCTGATTTCCTCCCGTCTTAGGTAACACGCGGAACAGATTAGCCGCTTTTAGGTCGGATACTTTGTATTTGGTTTTGAAACTGCAAAATGTGCCGGAAGTACAGACTGTTTATGAATATGCTAGAATCAGCAAGCCGTATTAAAGTATCAATGACATTTATTATAAGCACGACAATTTCTTCTGAAGTTATTTTCCTTATCTTCGTAGAAGGAATTGATATTTCTGGCTTACTTTATAAAAAGTACTTATTTGTACTGGTTCCGTCCGCGATCAAGGCCGATCTAGCCGGCATCAGTATTGTCCCGGACGGTATTAATTTACCTAATTTTGAGCGGCTGCCTAGCAGCTGCTATATTTTTTGTTAAAAGTTGTAACCTCGAGCGCTTTGGCTCAGTAGCGTAAGCACAAGGTAGCGGTGATGACCGAACCTATTAAGTGCCGGTTCATGCTCGTTGTGTCACCGTCAGGCTTTTTAAATCTTTTAGGCGTTTTGCCTGTTAAACCCCAGCCCGCTGCTCCCTGGTAGCATTGTAGCTGCTGGTCCGGAACTGTTTACTCATCGAACCTTGATAGCCTCAGCTTACGTTCTCTGAAGGTCATTCCACTATGTGATATCTGTGCAAGCACCGGATAGCCAGCAGCAAAGCAGACAGCGTCTAAGAAGTATGATTACACGTTATGAGGCTTTAACTATCCGGTGAACGATTACCTGCGACCTTCTAGCCCATTCTGTTCTGAATCCAATACATAGATTTGACTGAAAAGTGGCACACCAGTGCCAGTGAATCTCAAATAACGGCATCCATCCCCATGGCAAATAATTGCATTCTCGACTATAATTTAAGTTGATGCACTAAAGGGTGTCACAGACGACGATTTATGGCTTGGGCGGCTGCCAACTCGGTACTTTTGGGAGATTATCGACATATATGAAGAATTGAGCTAAAAGTGATACGACTTCAGGACAATTTTATGTTTTTTTCCGTACTATTAAAGCCTGGTGCATACTGAGTGGACCAGACCTTGTGCGGCACTTGTGTGGAAGGTGGCTATCGCAAAAGGAGTTAAGGCTAAGCCGGTTGAACCCTTACTACTGCGATCTTCCAGGCCCGGTTCCTTAGAAGAAGATAGAAGTCGTGGAAGCCGAGGTAGGAGGACAGTGTATTCTGTACAGAATCAGAAGAGGAAGAATTAGCAGAAGGGTTAACGCGGCCTGGGATGGAGTTCGACCATAAGGAGCGAGAGAGAGAGGGTGCCGCAGCCTCGCGTCCGCCACGCACCGGGGCGAAAGGCCGAGTGAATGGACTTAGTGTGAAGTGTGTTTCAGCCAGCGCTGACAACAAAGCCGGCGCATATTAGCAATCAGCGGTACGCAAAATTGATTAACTGATTAACGGATTTGACAAGGCGAGTCCAGTGTGAAACGGTAATCAACGATGTGCGAAAATCGATTCGCTGGCCACGTTGATAGAACAGACAGATGAGTGATCATGGCAGCGCTGGCGAGGTACGTTCCTACATGTCTACCTTTGTTAATAACTGCGCGTGAGCTTGAATCCGGTCGTTTTGTGCGGCTAGAAGTGAAGAATCCCTATCACTGTTTCCGTTTAATATTTACATCACGTTTGATGTGACACACTTGCAAATCCTCTAGCTTTACCTACATAAAGGCGGATAAGTTAAAAGTTGGCGTCTATTAACCTGTTTTGCTAAGAAGGCTGTTACACAATTTTCTGCCGATATAGTTCAGTATATTTAGGGTAGTAGGCAATGCCTTTGAAGACCCTAT